ACTGCCACAGCAGCCAGCTCTATAAAGCCCAGCAGCGATGCTGTGCCCTCTGTGGACTGCAGGGAGCAGCCTCTGGTCCTGCACACCTTATGCTGGGGTGGTGTTTGAGACTTCTGGGGTGGCAGCTAGTCAAAGCCAGGCAGGATGGAGCCAGCCTCGCAGAGGCTGCAGGGCCACGCACAGTGAGTGCAGTTTTGGTCCTCTCTTTTGAACAAATGCTTTTTCCTCCCTGTGAACCCAGAGGTACCATCCCTGGCCCTTGTGGTCCCTGAGGATTTCCTCTGGGACACAGCAGAGCAGAGGAAGGCACCCCTCACTCTAAGAAGCCTGTCTGGGTGTGCATCTTGTGAGGAGCTCAGTCCTCAGTACGAAACAGCAAGCTGATAATAAATATTCAACTTATTTAGAATTGCAGATACCAGGAGAAGGAAACCAGTAAACAAAAGAGGCCGCAATCAGCATTCTGGCTAAAAATCAGGAATGCCGAACTGAAGGGGTAGATACAGGAGGAACAGAAGGTGGTGAGTGGCCAGCCAGGCCTTTGAGCTAGCAATTAAATCAAATTCAAGTCTGGGAAAGCAAAAACTCAAAAGGAAGCTGCTTAAGCTAGGCTCTTCTTAATGAGAGACAAATACTCTAGAAAATATTGCCTGCTAACAGTATTCATAAGCTGCTCCCAAGATGTTTTGATTGAACCACTGTTGTCTTTCTAGTGTACTAATGGTTTTTAATCTCTCTTGATGCCTTGGGGCAAAGAGGTCTACTGATTCACAGCAGCTTCGTGAGCTGAAACTTGTCCCTGGTGAATGCATCTCTCATGCCAGAATCACAGCTTTTAAAAATGTGAGTTTTCAGCAAAGGAAGAACCCTTAGCATGTGAGCAGGTTGGAACTACTGTGATGCCACGTGCCTGAATAGAAAGGGAGCTCCTCTGGGGGAGACACGTACTTCTTCCTCTTCTCCTTAGGGTATGCTGAATTACAATGCCAGCACTATTTTACTGATGGTCAAAACCTAATTGCACTTTCCCGCCTGGCTAACGTGGCCGGGAGAAGCGGAGTGCCATGTGTCCTGCTAGTCCCATGCTGACCTGCCAGAGGTGGGCACAGACCTGCAGGGTTGCACAAGGCAACTGACAAAGGAAAGGCAAGCCTCATCTTGGGAGGGCTTCACATCTCTCCAACAGCGACAGGGAGTGATGCTGCGGGACTGGTGCTACCCCTGGCCTTGTGCAAGGCTTTTCCTAAGTGGAGGAGGTCTGCCATGCTCATCAAGGCAGTGGCACTGACTGGGGAAGTGTGGGAATGCAGTCACAACTGTGCCACAGTTGGGATCACTGTGAAAGTGAACTGTGGTTGTTGAACACAGGCTTTGAGCTTATTCCTCCCTTTTAGACTTCCCTTTTTGCTGGCAGTTATGGGATGGACCTAAGTGAGTCTTTACAGGACTTCTTGTGTCTTAGAAGTTTGGCTTCATCTTCCCTGTGAACATCATGTGGTTGTGCCAGCCAGCTGGTTCATGAGCAGTGTCAGACTAGTGCAGTTTTTAGTTAGGAGATGGGGCATAAGAGGGTTGATTTCTGGTGTTCAGTGGCTCTCATGTCACACAAAACTTCCAGGAGATGAGGGCAGTTAGTTGGGTTTGATTCCTGAGAATCACTGTCCTCAAACTGGGAAAGCAATCTTTTTCATGCCCTAAAACCGTGCTCTGGGCTTATACCAAATTCAAAGCACACCCGGGAAGCAGTGTCTTTTTGGTGCTCAGCCTCCTGCAGTGGTGTCCATACCTCCCTCCTTTTCATATCCCCCCCATCTTATATTCAGCATGCCTGGCCACCCTGCCTGACACGTTGCTCCACTGATAGTGGGCAGCCAGTGCTTGCTACCAACCATGACCCCTCCTTCCTAACTAATTCGAAAGCCCACAGCCACCTTACTGTTCCAACTCCATGCAACTTTCTGGCTCCTCAGTTTCTTTCCACCAGCCTCATGTTAAAAGGATTTTACAGGAAAAAGACCAGGAATGGGCTGGGAAGGGAGGACAGGCTTTTCTGTCAGCAGGTACAAGAGGAAAGCTCTGCCTGGCAGGGACTTGCACAGCACATGCTGTTTGCTCACCTCCTGCCTCCTGTCTGGGCGAGGCACCAGGGAGCATCCCTGATGAGAGCAGACAGTTCTTCTGTCCTCTGGGTACAGTAGCTGCTTGTTGCTTGTGGAGAATGAAAACATATTAAAGTACAAAACTGCTGCACTAGTCATTTTCCAATTCCCCACTTGGAGAACTGGCTTCCCTGGAAAATAGGTCACTTACATAAAAAGCACCTTATTATCACAGCACAGCAGTGAAGGAAGAGATGGCTTGAGAGACACTTTCATTCTGAGCCCGTGCTCTTGGGTACTTAGATATTTCTGGAAAATCGACCCTTTGGGCTGCAATTTCTTATGCTCATTTTCAGCCCGTAAGGTGAATTTCGGGACCTTGTTCCCTCCACTAAGCTAGATGAAGATAGGGAAAAAAATGTGTTACGTCTTAACCCTTGGGAGGGCAGTGCATTCAAAACCATTACTTTCTCTGGGGATTAGGGTGGGACATTATTCCTGATATTATAGCAAAGGTGGGGAAGACTCCCAGAGACAAGTAAACTTGAGTCCTCTCACCTCCTCCTGCAGTAGCCACCTGCCTCCCACCCACCCCAGGTATTCATTTGCTTTTCTCTTCTTACTTGTAGTTGTGCTTAGCTCTCCCCAGGATGGGAAACAGTCATTGAAGGGCAACTGGAGGAGGAAGGATGGGGAGAAGAGCTCATGCTGGGCATGGGAGTGCTTGAGGTGTGGAAAGGGGCAAAGGGACCGTAGGGACTTGCCCTTGTGAGGAGGGGAGAAAATATCCAATTTTAGGTAAAGGCACCAGAGCTGAGAGACAGGAAATATAGGTGCATGGAGAGAAAGGAGGGACTCACTGAGGATACGTGTGGCTGGCCTTGGAGTCAGGTCATCTTGAGAAGGAAAAGGGAGATCTGTGGTAAACAGCTTTGGATTGGCTCACTTCGAAGGAGTGGCAATAGCAAAATGAGCAGTGCTCCTCTGAAAGAAAGGAGCTCTGCCTTTGGGCAACAGGCTGACTGAGACTCCAAAAGGCAATACCCACCTCCTTGGTCCTTGCTTGAGTGCCACATTGTGCCTCTGTTTCAATGGGGAGATTGAAGTGCTGTAAACCTGACAAAAGAAAGCACAGAGAGTTTCCTCAGCCTTTCCATTTTAATGTTGCTGACTCCAGCCTTGGCCAGCATCTGTTTCCCCTCACTATGCTGCTCAGGCTATGGAAGAAGGCATCTTCCTGGGCAGACTTGTACTGAGCTAGGCAAGCAGAAAGGGGCCAGGGTGCAAGAGAGCCCCCAGAAGGGGAGGATGAGGAGTGGGAAGTTGAAGGGGAGGGGGATGGAGGAGGATGGGAAGGAGAGAATGCAGTAACATCAGCCGATGGGATGGGAAGACTGAGGGTAACATCACAGTGAGAAGCCTGTGGAGACTTGGAAGCTGGAGAGGGCAGATGGAGAACAGGCCAACCAAAGAGCAGTTTGCTGGCCTCATACCCTTACCAGAGCTGGCACAATGTGGACAGCATGGCCTCAAATAGTGGGGGGCATCCCTGCCACTGACACCACTGCGAGGGCTGGGGGCAGAGGGCCTGGTGTCCTGGCACACAGGAGGTGCTTTCAAAATGTATTAGCGATTACCTCCGCAGCAGCAGCAGCCAGAGAGTGGGAGTAATTTACATAGTAAGAGCTGGGAGATAGATGGCTCTTTAAACCAGATCTGTCATTCCCAGCACTCTCTCCCATCTCAGATGCTTTGATGTTCCTCTTTGAAGAGCTCTCCTCGCTTGCTATTCCTCACTCCCTTGGTGCTGCTCCAGCTCTCCAAATGCCTTTCTCTGTCTTCCTGCCTGTGTGCCTTTGCTGCTGTGATGCTATGCCTGCATCTCGGCAGGAAGGACACAGAGCAAGTGACAGCTGGCACCCTGAAAGCCAGTGCTGGCAGGAGGCTGCAGGGAGGAAAAGCCAGCTTCAGCAGACACTGAGGTGTTTGTTCAACATGAGATCTAATGTACCATGAAGGAGGGCAATGTAAAACAATAACAGCAATAATGTCAGTCAGCTTTCAATCACTGTGTGGGCATCTGGTGGGGGGATCCAAGTGTTCAACCCAAAGGTAGAAAAAGATGGAGGCGAGCGGGGGACTGGAGCCCAGAAGCTCCTTGTTCCACAGCCCTTCAAGGGCAGTGTGGGCTTCCCAGTATTTCAGTGTGAATGGCATTTCTCCCATCACCTGTGTCCCTTGTAGGTTCAAGCCCCTGGAAAGGGAATGAAAAGAAGAATAAACTAGTGAGAAAAATGTTTTTGGGTGGTTGAAGTTTTGAGAGGGCTGGGTGAAACAGGACAGAGGCTCTTCTGAGCAGCAGTGGCCATCAAGAAGCCTGCCACAGCAGCAAAGACCAGATCAGAGGACCCTATCTGTGAATGAGGCATAGAGGAACAGAGAGGGGCAGATGAGTTAGAAGAAGTAAGTTTTATAGATGTCAAACTAAAGGCTAAGTATAGCATGGGAGACCACACAGCTAGAGAGGATAAGCCTGTGCTGAAACTATGGCCTTGTCTATACACAGTGGTTTTACCAATACTAAGGTGTAGCTACTCAGGTGGGGTTTTACCTTGCTGCAACACACCTGCTGTCCTGAGCTCTTACATCCCAGGGTGCCAGTGACTGAGGGTTTGGGGTTCTTCAGTTTTGCAAAAAACCCTTGACAAGCTGCTTAAGCTAAACAGCAATGTATACCCATTTTTGTCTGTATGGGTTCTTATTAAGCAGTAAAAGTTGAAAGAGGTAACAGCAGTGCTTTCATTTCACCACTTATGTTGGTGAAGAGGTAAAGAGGCCTCAGTATAACTCTTTTCACATATATGTGTGAACTTTGTAACCCAATGGTGTGTTACATCTCAGGATTGTCTTAATGGGTGGAGCTGGAGAGCGAACTCTCACAGAAGCATGGATATACACAAATGTCCTGCTGCTGGATATCTACCTTGTAAGGTATTTTGAAGGGTTCATGCTTTTGAAATAAAAATGATTGCTGCGTATGTCCTGTACATGCAGAAATAACAGAATCATAGAATGGTTAGGGTTGGAAAGGACCTTAAGATCATCAAGTTCCAACTTTTAGAGGTACTTAGGTCTGTGTTGTCTTTGAGAGCTGCACTTGTATTTTGGCTCCAGGTTCCATAGCCAAGAGCTGTGAAGCAGCTGTTTTGACTGCGGGGACTAAGCAAGAGTTTCTCTTTCTAGTGCCAATTGGGCAGTGCCAATTGGGCAGTGCCAATCAGACAGTGCCAATCTAGCCCAAATATCCACCTGCTTTGGAGCGCATGTGTCCCTGCATTCCTGTCACGAACCTCAGTCCGTTTTGGCAACACAGCCCAAATTTCCCAAAGTGGGCTCTGTCTTTTAAGGGTCACTTTGAAATGCACATAAAGACCCGAGTTTTTTGAGTTCCTGAGACAGGACAAAGAGCTAAGTAGCTCTCAAAAATAAATGCACCCCTAGCAGACGAATTACCCTGAACTGCCTTTGGAAACACTGGGCAGCATCAGGGAAAGAAAGTTGTGTATAGCCTGCAGTTTATAAGCAAGGACCTCAGCCCTGCACAGGGGGCTTGGGAACACAGATCCCTCATGGTGAACATAGCCAGGTGGAAGCAGTCCATGTCTCATCTTCCCAGCCACGCTCACCAGTAGGACTTTGGTTTCTGCTCTCTGATGTAAGCAGCTTGATTGGTTTCAGTACACACTGGGTTCACCAGCTTGGAGGGATGAAACCGCAGCTCAATTTGGATGCTCTGGTTATGTTCCCTGCTGTTAGCCATGCTGCAGGGTGCCATCGCTATTTCTCAGACCCAGGTTTGTGCAGTTTGATGGAAAGGCTGTGTTTGCAAATGCTGCAGAAGGGCTGTTTCCCCTTATGGATCTTTCCTTTGGCTGCCTTTTCAGGCTGCTTGACCACACATGGTTAGGCATAGTATAGCCAGTCACTGTGGAGGTCAGATATTGTGGTGGTTTGTGGAGGTGTGTGAGAAGCACAAGTATAACAATCAGCAGGCTTTGAGCTCTTTATATTTCCTTTTTGTTTCCTAAATAAGCACTGTTGCAAGAAAAGGGCATGGTGATTGTTCAGTCGTGTGACTGTCATTACACAAAACCCTGCCCATACTCAGGGGCTGCTTTAATCAAAAAACATGTCAGGTTTCACTTACAGATTAGAGACCCTCTGTCTGTTGCTGGTACTGCGAATTAACTCCAGCCTGGCACCCAGGATAACCTGTTCTCCAGCAGATAGGTATCCATGTGGCAGAGCAGCCAGTAGCAGGGGATGTGCCACCTGGTTTGTCTCACACTAGCTGGTAGCCTCAGGATCCTGATTTCCTTTGCAGTGATGTTGGGATGTGATCAGGGAAGAATCTGGCCTCATTTTTTCACTCTGGGGAACATAGGCAAGCTGCAGCATCAGTAACACAGCATCTCCTATTCCTATTGTGATGCCTTGGCGGAAAATGACATCATCTACATGCAGACTTGTCTTAGGAGCAGTGCTTCAGGGGAGGATCATGGGGACACCATTTCTCCCTGCTGTGGCATCATGTGGATCTCCCTGGTGAGGGGCTCATGGCAGCATGTCCAGTGAGCTTGTGGCACTAGGAGGGAGCTACAACACTGCTCCCTTCTTGCTTTTCTTATGGTTTTGCTGTGTTTTGTTCCCTCTTTCCTTTGGGCTGCAGGACACCAGGGAGTCTTGCATGTGGTAGGAAATGAACCTCCATATCCTGGACTCCTAAAAGGCTTGTCCCTTCCTGATGTGTGCCCCATGCTTCGTGTGCCCACATTCACTCAAGCTGAGGTTAAGGAAGGGAGATGGCTTGCTATAAGCAGGTTGGTAAAGGAAAAGGATTATCCTTCCTCTTGGGAGTATTAGTGAATAGACAGGCTGTGAGCACTGCCAAGTAGATCTACAATTTTTAGAGAAATGAGCTCTCAGACATTGTCACCTCCCTTTAATCTTCTCTTGTCTTTAGTGATTATTTTTTCCTTGGCCATTGCAGTCTATCTGACTAGCAATAAGTATGGCTTACTCTACTGTTCTGGCTCAACATTAACTGTTAATGATGTAAAGCTGTATTAAGCCTGAGCTACTCTGATTATCTCATTCGACATATCCCTTGATCACCACGGAACAAATTTCTCTGTAACAAGCTGTTGGTCAGTTGATTCATGACTGCTTTTTCTTCTTATAATTGTCTTGAAAAAAAATTTTTGAGCTGAAAACTGTAGCAGTGTGTGTTGCAGGAAGAGAAAATGCCTGAGACACACACTGACCTTCACTACGCAAAGTGTATCCACAAAGCTTACCTTGTCTTTGGAGGTCATCCTGCATTTTCCGCAAGGATAGAAAGCTGGAACCCCAGTTGGCATGAATCAATGCAGCCTGCCTGAGAAGGGCTGAATTCTTCAGCTGGGAATTTGCTGAATAGTTTTTGTTAGAGGTCTATAAAATCAGATGTGGCACAGAGAGGGCAGGCAAGAAACATCCATTCGCTAGCTGTTTTCCTACAAGAATAAAGGGTCACCAGCTGCTGTATGTTCAAAACAACAGGGAGCGATTCCTAGTACAAGGCAACGTTTATCTTTCCACAGTATGCTATGGGTTTATGTTTCCATGGTTCAAAAAGCATTTAGACAAACTTATGGAAAAAAAAAATATCCCTCCTAAGGCTATTAAACACAAGACAAACATGCCTTCTTGCCCAGAAAACCCCATTGCTGCTGTGGAGGAATATATTAAAAGGGGTATCTTGGGCTAGTTAGGGCACAGTATCGCAGGTTAGCGAAAACAGCGTAGGCCCTTAGTGTGTTGCAGAAGGTGACATAGTAAAATAAATAAGCTTCCTGCTCTTCCAGATTTTAGGATGATTTTATAAATAGACAATGGCACCATGCAACTAAAGAGGCCAGAAATTTCCCTCCTGCTCTCTGAGATGCTCAGGCAAAGACCAGCCATGTTATTAGGGGCTAGTCCATCACCACAGATCTGGGAGGGCATCCCTGGCCACAGTGAGTATTTCTTGCAGCCTTGCTGAGGAGATGAGATTCAAGCCATCCAGACTCCCCCAGTTCCTTCTGGGAGAGGACAGCAGGAGAGAGTGTTGATATAACAGTGGAGGAGAGAGGAAGAGGAAGGTAACAAGTACAGTGGCAAGAAAAAGTCCTCCTAGGCAGGGACCACAAAAGGGAATGAGCCACTGGCCTACCTGTGATCTCACTCTCCTCCTGAGCAGGGTGTTGACAAGTCTTAGCACCCAGTGGGCCAGAAAGCAGCAGCCTAATGGTAAGGGGTGAACAGGAAAGGCTGTGTACACAGGCAGGCTCTATGCTTATTGCACCCTGTCATGGACTATCCAGAAATGAAGCTTCCCATGAGGCAAAAGAAAGGTGAGAAAACAGAGATGTTCTCCCTTCCTGAGCAGGTCTGACCACCATATGGTGGTGAGAATTGTTGTCACCACAACTACCTCCATCTTGTCATTGCCCCGGCAGATGTCCTCAGGTCTGCAGGAACAGGGCTGTCTTTTTAGCAGCTGCAAAGAAGTGTGGTAAGAAATACGTGGCGAGGTGGTTACCTTTTCTTTTGCCTGAGAAAGAAGCATCTCTCAGAGGCTGAACAGTCTCTGACTCTGCAGGCTATTGGAGAGACAGTGACTCCCTTTTTTCCCCACTGTCACTCAATTCTGGATTACACCAAGGTTGATGAAGCTGACACTCACATGAAGCAACTAGTGCTTTGCGACAAAGATAGTAAGCCAAAGCAGAGCACCTATCTCATGCAAACATGACCTTAGTGTCCAGAAGCCATTTGACATTCTCCTTTAAAACAATTCTACTTGTAATTAAAATCATCTGAAGTGAGGGTTTTGAACTGCTGGGCCTTAGGATTAGAGATCCAGAGGGACCAGTAAATCCATATGTTTTTCTTCTCTTGTCTTCTTTTATGTCCCTCTACAAAGAAGGGTTTTGCATGAGGTTGAAGGAGGGAACAAGAGGATTTTTTTAATTTAACCTTTCTGTTTCTAGCATAACATGGTCATCAGCCCCTATCTCTGGATTTCTGGATTCTGCCGTGGCCCTTGCTCCCTGTGTTATGTAGTATAGGGGAGCCAGAGAGGCACACAGGCTGTGGCTATAGACATTTGTGCTGGAATTTGCATGGTCTGGCTCTGGTATGTCCTGGAGGCATGTTCTGTGTGTTGATTTGGAGCTGGTTTCAGCTACAAGCCAGACTTCTGATACTCCTATAGGCCTGGAAACCACCAGCATAGCAAATTCCTTTCTTGAGGACATATGCAGGGGACCAAGAGCAGTCTGGTGATCAGAGACACTGTCTTGGGATATGCTGGTGGTCTTGCAGTGATGGCTTCTCCCTACATGGGGGCACAATTAGCTCTTGCTCTCTCTGCCTTTGCTGGCAGGTGCACCTATGTAAGAGTGCATCTATGGGAGGGGGCTTCCAGCATGCAGATGTTCAGGGATGCTATGGGTCTCTGAGTCTATTCATAGTGATACTGCTCACATTTCTGCAAAGTCTTGCCTTGGATGAGCTACCATTATATAACATTAAATAGTATTTTAAAGAAATGATAGATGAGATGGATTATTGATGCTTTTTAAAAATGGCCAGCTCTTCAAAAGGGTCCATCTTTCTACCCTTTATATGGAGGATTTAACTTCCATGAATTGAAACAGGGATTTTATTTTCCCTTCCCTTCATGTAATTCCTGATTATTAAGCAACCTCTCCTTATTGACATAGTATCTTTAGCTCATGCATCATTTATTGTTATCTGAACAGTTACTGGAAAGTGTCCCTGGGTAAGCTCTGGGGATGAATGGTTGCCTCACTAATGGAGGAAAAGCCTAACTACTTCCTAAATCAATTAACCTGAGAGGCCAGAAGACACGTCCAGGCTGCTCAAAGCACGTGCACGTGCTCACTGCAGTGGTCTCTGCTGTGGGTAGTGGCACAGTACCCACAAACATGCTCATTACTCCCTGTGTGTTCCCAGCCATGCTGATGGCATGTGGAACGACTTGGCACGTACACAGTCACTCCATGTATCCCTGCTGCTGCACGTGCACTCATAACTCACGGCTCAGCAACTACGGTTCTCTGCCTGCAGCTCACCAACAGGGGATGTGTGTCTGCTCTCTAGCAGGCTAGCAGGCAGCCCAGCTTTCAAGCTCAAGCCATAATATTTCATGCTCTTTTACTCTACAAGTCCTCAAGGTAACGGTGACCTCATGCATGCATATATGTCTATGTAATGCCTCTTTGTTCCCACTCACTACATGGAGGAAAAGGCTAACTGCTGCCAGCTGACATCACTGCCATTAAAAGTATAGAGGAATTTGGCAGGGGTCATTATTGCTAATCCTTGACGTTCATCCCAGTGAGATACAGGGGTGTTGGACTGCAGGGCAGGACACCTGAATGTGGTGCTGCTGGTCAGCAAGCCACAAGAGTGTCCAGCATTGGGCACAAGCAGAGATTGCACAACACCTCCATGGTTCAGGAAGAAGTGGGACAGGACACAGCACATGTTTCCCATGAGACGTCTGTACATCCTGCATGAAGTGAGAGAGAGAGCATGGATGCTGCAGCAGAAGAGTTTGAGAGAGGTAAACAGACTATGGATAAAGAAGATGCAAGAGAGGAAATAGTCTGGTAAGGAGGGTGAAGTACAAAGAACGGAGAAGTTGTGGGGTTTTAGAGCATTGGTTATGAATGAATGTGCAGTAAGATGGGCACTAAGTGGAAAGGCAAGAGAAAGGGATGAGCAGAGAAGGAGGTAGGAAAGCAGCTGACAAAATGAAGCCAAGACAACATGCTCATCTAGAAAGGAAGAAAACAACCAGTAATTACATTAGGAGACATACTGCACATTTTCTTCCAGGTGAGTGTCAACACCATGACTCCAAAGCTGGAGCACCTGGAGGTTGGTGAATGAAAGGGAGCAAATGGTGGCACAAGAAATTCTCTGTCCAGGAGAAAGAACATTGCTAGGAAGAGAGGGAGAGAAGGAAGGGAAAGACGCACATACACTGGGCACTAGGCTGGTGGAAACCGGGTGTGTCTCAGCCCCAACAGAAGCCAGTGCATGAGGCATTGGGAAGGGGAGGCAGCACTGGGACTGCAGCTGGCACCACTCAGGCCCTTCAGCTCAAACACCCCACAACAAATCCACATCCTTGTGGCCTGCAAGGAGTAACACACCCTGCACCTGGTGCACTGTGTCCCATGACTATGCAGTGGGCCATGGCCAACCCCAGGAGCTCCTGGGGAAGTAGCTCTCCTTGACACTGTGATAGAAAGAAGGTCCCCAGCCTCATGGTGTGAGCGAAGACGTTGTTGCATACCGGGCTGAGAAAAACAGCAAGCCCTATTTCCAGGCTTGCACCACTGACTCTCAACAGACATGAAAGGAAGCTGAATCACCGTATTGCAATTTCAAGCTCCATTAAAGAAACATGGGGATGGGGATAGCAGAGGGAAGGAGAGGGCAGGGAGGGATGAAGAGAAAATTGAACAGAGCAGAGTAGCACTTGAAGGGGAAAGAAATGTTGCTCATAGGCTCAGAAGGGGGAATTGCAGAGATGAGATTAAAAGGGAACCCTTGAGACTGTCTCTTTAAATACCGCAAGATTCACTTAATCCATGCTGGGCCAGGCTTGTTGAATGCTGAAGGCACAGTCCCCGCTGAGGCTTGCCAGCTGATCAAGCAGTAGAAACCTATCTATCCCCATATACCAGCAAGTTGCCCTCTTTCACCTATGTTATCTAGAAGGTCTCATTGCTAATAAATCTCATGTGGAGTGAGCCTAGAGCGAAAGCTTTTTATTTGACTACCCTTAAGTGATCTTTTATGCAGGGACATATAGTCGTGTCAGAGTTGGTACCATGTGTCTGGGAGATCAGCATGGAGTATCTGGGTGAAGCTTTGCTTGGGCAGGGAGGACTGTCTTCACTTGCTGGTCCTAAAGGTAGGGAAGAGAGCTGCAGATAGAAGAGGAAAAAGTACAGGGTCTGAGAGCACTGCCCATGGTGGCTTTTCGTGGAAGAAGTTACCTGCTTCCAGAACCCGGGGACAGAGTACATGGGGTGGCTTTGGTGTGGAGGGAGGCAAGATGTCTAACCCCATTAGCTAGACCCTGACCCATCTGCTCAGGGCTAGCTGCAGGACATTCACATTGCAAGTGTTGGTCTGAATGCAACCTGGAACCACTCTGAAAAGTCTTCGCCAGGTTTAGCCCCTTATCTCCCATAGGTGTATTTTCACCAGATTTTTCAATAGTTCACAAAGGTTGGCCAGGCACAGCGTTTGGGTGGGAGGCAGATGTTGAATTGCTTGTTGCTGAGATTGTCCTACAGGGGCTACAGGCTTCTTTCATCCTGTTCACTGTGAGGAATGGTGGTGCTGGTTGGTGTTTGTTTAAAGTCTGTTATGTGTACAGCTGGAAAAATGATGACCCAAATGAGACCTGGTCACCAAAGATACTCTTGTCTATGTCTGAGGCACAGTGTGTGTAATGACATTTACGCTACACCTCACCCCCTCTGCTGTGATTTCAGCTCTTATTTCCACATCCCACACCTTGAATTTTTATGGCCTAGCAACTAAAAGAGACTGAATTCTTTGGGACAGTGACTGGTTTCATTTTGCTCTGACAAATGCTGCTGAGGCTTAATAAATAGCAAAAAGAGGTAATAATGTAACAGAGCAATTATTACTGCATTTCTTAAGCTGTTGCTTGACACTGCTCTGTGCCATTAGGTATCTGCCACATTATGCCTTAAGAAGCTCCTGGGTCTTTGGGGTGTTTGCTTTGCTGTACTCTCCTGGCTTCAGTTTTGTCCATACAGCCCATGCAGAGTCTCTGGAGATGAGCAGCAGCTAAGGCAGATCACTCTGCATACTTTTCAGCTTCCCTGTGGCCATGCTGAGAGCTGAGCAGTTTGGCTGGGAGCCCACGGGCTGACGTTGAGAGCTGTTCCCCACAAACCGTGCCCACCACCTTTCTTCTGCAGTGTCGAGGCAGAGGGGTGCTGCCAACACAAACATGAATGTGGCTCTTCTTTGTGTCTGGGGGTCCTGGCAGACTTCATGATGTGTCTCCTTGGTTTCTGGACAGCCTTTTGATACTGGGGGTGGTGAGGGAATGGCCAGGATCCTCTGTTAATCAGAAACAAAAGCACTCCTGCTTGGCCTCTAAGCCTTGCCTAAGGTTGGTAGATCTCAGGAAGTGCCATGTTCAGAGGTGGAAATGTTAAGGTAGAAGGAAAGACTAAAACCTGCTGACCCAGAGACTCCTTTTCCAAGGGAGTTTAAGCACACACCTTGTTCTCAGCTGCAAATCTCTGGCTAAATATTCCTCGCATCCAAGACAACTGCATCCTAATCCTTACAGAGGCCCGAGAGTGCTATTGTAATGCAAATAATGACAAATAACAGTAATAATAAAATGTCACCAGCACTTGTGCCAGTTCCCGAGCAATCCCAAACCAGCTGTAGCAAGTATCATAGCACCAGGTTATGTAAAGGAGCATGAGCATTAACACTGGAGCTGTCAGGGAGGCGACCAATTAGCCAGTGTAGCTGCCTCCTGTGGGCAGCAAATCTTCCAGCGTGCCTTCACTGGCTCCCTGGGCTGCTCTGCAGGTACAGTGTCATAACTTACCCCAGCATGGGGGACTGTGGGCAGATGGATGCCCCCGTGCATCACTGGGGAGAGTGTGGGGAGTACATGACTCCCGGTACCTGTGCATTGGCAGGGGCATGCGATGTAATTAAGGCCCCTGTGATGAAGCGCCTGTTCAAAGAGTGGTAGTGAATGTTGGTGTCATTTAAATTGACTTCAGATTAAAGTCTTCTATTCCTGTTTTTTTGACAGATAGCTCTTTGCAAGGTATGTGAAAATGGCTGCTGATATGCAGCAAGGGCTGGCAGGGCTGGCTGGGAGGGTGCAGGAGAGCAGATGGGACCTCCCTGGTTCTAATCATAGAATCACAGAATGGTTTGATATGGAAAGGACCTTAAAGCTCATCCAGTTCCAGCCCCCTGCCATGGGTAGGGACACCTTTCACTAGACCAGGTTTCTTCCCCCTTCAATGCTTCTAGGGGTGGAGCAGTCACAACTTTTCTGGTCAGCCTGTTCCAGTGTCTTACCACTCTCACAGGGAAGAACTTCTTATTGTCTAATCTAAATCTACTGTTTTGTAGTTTAAAGTTCCCCCTCATCCTGTCACTATATGTCCTTATGAAAATGTGAAGGCCAGAGTCAGCAGGCAGCCTGCCATAAGAGCTGTGGGTACTATGACCCACACTGCCCACTCAGGCTGTCCTTGGGCTTTGGCCAAGCTCTGCCAGCTCACCATGGGCTCTCTCATTGGGCTGTTTGCACCTGCAGAAGGAAGGTTAGGGCAGCAGCTGGCTGAGGTTGGAGGTGATGCTAGAGTCAAGTGTGGATCACATCTCAGGTATTTTCCAGGAGGTCATGACCGTCAGTGGCAACATCCTGACATGCTGTCTTGTCTTCCCTGCAGTCCCAGATCCTGATGCTGTGCTCTTCAGATCCAGTCCTTTACACTGAACTGGTGAGTATATGGAGGTAAGTGGCTTTATTTAGTAGCATTTTTATATTCTACATATCTCTGTTGCTTTTAGCAGTTGCTCTGACCTGGCTACCAAGAATAAAGTAATAAGAAATTGTGCTCTGGAGTCTGAGTGCCTCCCATAGGAGTCTCTCTCCTTGAGGGAAAGGAGTAGATTAAGAGAAATTAACATCTTAATACTTTGCCCTTTGGGCACTGATATCTACTGTTACAGCTTTAGGCAAGTTCAGCCTTCTTCACTCATTCAGTGCAGAGCAGCAGAAGGGAGCAGACAGATATAGGTATTTATTAAGAATCAGGCTTCTTGCTTGCAGCTTGTTCCAGCCCCACTTAAAAGAGCACGCAAATGGGAATACTGGGAGTCACTGAACCAATACTCTGTACTGGCTGTGATGTACTGTCAGGCGCTAGTAGGAAATGCGTAGAGAAGGACCATGTGGAGAGGGCAAAAGCAGACTGATGTGGCCCCAAGTAAACCTTCCAAGTCTGGGGCAATGGCCTGTTCCTGAACAAAGGGATGTGATTAGACCCATTGCTGGAATAGCTACACAGAGGTCTAGTGCCTTTGAGCCCATTTATAATTCAGAACATGAAGCTGGATTATTTCTGCAAGGTACTATAAAACCAAAACCTGAGAAGATGTTTCCTGCCACAGGGATGCCTGCAAAGTGTAGGGGGAGGTAAGAGATGACGCCAGGCAGAGGAGGAACAAGCACAAGAAGGAAGGCAAGGGGTCTGTAGAGAGCAGCATGATCTGCGGTAGCCTCAGAACAGCAACAGCTTGGGGTTTATGAAATATTTTGCAGTCCTCAGGTGTGCTGTAGTAGGGATTTAGAGGGGAAGGAGGAAGCAGTTTTTCAGATGTTTATGGGAAGCCTTCTCCAATGTGAGGGACAACAAGGCAGAAAGCTTCAGGAAGCGCGTCTGAAAATATGACACAAGCTGATGGAGATAGGAGCTGGCATTTCTCTGGTGAAAGAGATGAGATGTAGGAGCATAGGAGGTGTAGATTCCCTCTTCTTTCAGATACCCAGGGGAGGTTTTTGGACACTGCGTGGATATAAGCATCTTTCTACTCTGGAAAATAATCAAGCACTCTGGGGAGTGGGTAGGAGAGAACTAGAAAATCAGACTGCACCTCCTTTCTCCACCAGCCAAAGCCATCACTTTGAGGCCTCCCAGCAAGGGGAAATAGACTTCTGCTGTGTTTATCATGCATGATTATACAGGACCCTTTAAGCCTGAAATCAGGATGAGGCGTGAAACTCATTTAAATAACTGGCAAAGGAGTTATCATGCGTGTGAGCTCAAGCAAACCGGTGGCAAGACAGAGGCACTGGGTTAGAGTGATAGCAGGTCAAGACTGGTGGCTGGGGAGGCAGGGAGAGGAGTGAGCTGGGATGCACCTGCCGAAGCTTGGCTGACACCCATTCCCACGGGAAAAGCATGTGCCTGGGGAGCTGCTCTGACTCAGCTCCAGCTGCTCAGCCCTGGCCTCTTGTGTGGTTCTCTCTTGCTCCTGGGCTGGGGATTTCAGTCCCAGGATCTGCCCATCAGAAACTGTAATGTAGCATGGCTGCTAAAATGTATCTCAGCCATCTTCCCATTCAAATGAAGAAAACACATGGAAACACAAACAAACTATGCATAGAGATCTGCTGTTACCAAGATGTCTGCAAACAAGGTCCTCCCTGTGCCCACTAAGTGTGGTAATCAAGATGGGGAGGGCTGGGTCTCTTAGAGGCAACAGGATGAAGGCTTTTAAGTCTCCTCCTTGAATGTGTTTCTCCCCTAAGGGCAGCACCACTTAGTAGGCTTGGCTCTACCACAGGCTGAGGTATAGATGTGTGCCTTAAGGATGAGGTAAGAGAAAACTATTAGCTATTGGGATGGATCAGTGTGTAGCCCAAGGCTGCCTGGGCACCAACACAGTGCGTGCAGCAGACACCTTGGGTCTCTTCAGTCCTGTTTTCTAACAGTATTAATTTTCCCCGAGGCTAAAGTCACTGTGCTTGTAAACAGGGCAGCCTCGCAAGGAATGCGAGTACTCAGAATACTCATTTTATAACATCATTCCCAGAATTTTTGTTCTCTATTTACCCTGGCCAAGCAATTCAGGCCCCAGATAGGTGTCTCTCCCTCCCCAGATCTCTTCCTTGCTCCCCAGCCCTTCTTTTCCTGTCTGGTGAATAGCATTTTTGGGTCCTGCTGACCTATTGCAACTTGAGGAGCCATGGTGGGCTCAGGTACAGGTTTGTGTATGGGAAACTGTCAGCCCTGGTGAGCATCGTAGGAGTTGTAGGGGACCCCGGAATGTCCACCTTGCCCAGGAGGGCTCCTGTGTTCCCTGCCAAATGAGGTCTTGTCACATGCTGAACTAAAAATGCCTGGAAGGACAACTTTGCTGCAGCTTTTCTTCATCCCTGTTTTTCTTTTTTTTTTTTTTCTTTACCGCACTTCAAATAATTTGACATTGCATATTTAAGACTCTTTTGTTGTATTCAGTTCACCTCATCTGACCTCACAATCTTCAGGATAATAGCAGATGAGGATGATAATATTCTGCTGGTTTACAGTGCCACTTTCAGCAGCCCCACGAGCCCTTTAGCAATGGTTGCTTGTTAAGGCCTGCAAGCCATCTAAAGTGAGTTAATCTATTACTCCTGCTCTGTGTATGGTGAGAAATTGTGACTTGAACAAGTGAGCTGGAAGGAGAGGCAGGACTTACAGACTTGAACCATGGGGCAGGAAGGACCCTGTGCTCTCTCAGCACCTATAGTGGCTCATATAGCAATGTGTCCTGAGAAGGGCCTCTGCCTGTAAGTAATCAGCACAAGTGCATGCAGGAGGTTAGGCTAAACTGAGAGGAGAGAAGGTCCCTGAGGAGCAGAACAGAAAAGGCTGCATGATTGATAGTAGATAACAAGCTCCAGGCTTTATCAACCAAAGATTTGTATCAACTGCTGTGAAAAGGATGGTGATGGCATAGTATATGTATTAGAAAAGAGGATGGTGAGTGGGAGCACAGATGAGCTATCAGGGGTCCCACATCGGGGGGCACAAAATCCTCCATTCCTAAAATAAATGAGGTTTTCCAGCTGCTGGCCTGGCCCTCCCTCCAGCACAACCCAGCTCTTGTCGGCTCTGGGGCTATAAACCCATGACCATGAGAGCCCCATCCCTGCACAGGGTGAGAGGCAGGGATTATACAGCTGGGCAGGAGAGGACACCCCTGGCTGTGGGTAGCCCAAAGGGAATGGCGAGGCTGCTGGGAGAGGGCAGGTCACTCATTTTCTCTGGGATGCCAGAGGCAAGAGCCATGGGAAGGGTGGGAAGAGCAGCAAAATGGTTCCCATCACCGAGAGTGGAGCAATTTGCTCCTGCCCCAGCTGTGTGACAATGATGCCTGTGCTGCAGTGTCCAAGGCTGCTGTCTACCAGGGTGCTGATGGGAACAGGGGGGCAGCCAGCAGTGTGGCTCTCTGGGGGGCTGTATACTTGTTTTTCTTCTCTGTGGCATTACACAATATGAGATAGAAAATGTTTGTACAGTAGCTCTATTTGTCCTTGGGGTGAGGGGGGAAAGGAAGAAGGTGGTGGGTAATTTGAGGTTCTTTATTAGACCAATAAATCATTTATAATGTGCTAGCTTTCACGTCAGTCCCTTATTGCTTATGTCAGCCACAGTACGCTACATGGCGACTGAAGCTAGCAGAGCACACACTGGCTCCCCTAAATCAGAGGGACAGAGCCAAGGTGCATGGAGAGGGCAAGGCTCTGATGCTGGAGGCAGGACCGGGGCTCACCATGCTGGGGCATGGGGGAGAGGACAGCTTGTCCTTCACAGGTCCTGGGGAAAAATCCAGCACTGCTGGTGACAGGCACTTGGCCTTGTCTGAAGCGTGTTGTAGCAGCCCTGGTCCTCCTGGGATAAGGGGAAGCATCAGGAGTGCCACTGGGCACATCACCTAGACTCCCCATGTCACCTGCAAGCAGAGACAGCAGGCATGATACAGGGGTAATAAACCCTAATGCCCCTGAGACTTGGCTGGTGGGGAGCACAGGACAAGGCAGGTTTTCCTGGTGGCACTCCAGTACAAGAGGAATGGGGATGTCCTACTCCTGTCATCTTTGTATTTTGGGGGTTTAGTGGAGCTTATTCCCTGTGGCAAACTATCTCTTGGGTTTCTTGGGTGATCTGGGCACCCGTGAGGTTGCTGAAGGAGAATATCACCTAGCTGGGAAGGACTGTGCTCACCTAGTCACAAGTGGGTGTGGTTTTGGTGGGGGTTTGTTTTTGGGTTTGTTGGGCTTTTTTTTTGTTTTGGTTTTGATTGTTTTGTTTTGTTTTGTTTTTTGGTGGAAGTTCCTTGTTTGCCACGTGTGGAGACAGTGTTCTCACGGGAGAATGCATAATTAGTGCATGAACTCTGAATAATCCTGAAAGATACAGCAAGGCCGTGAGAGGCTCAAAGAAGCTTAAGCAAGCAAGATAAGAAGAATCTGGAATTCACTGAGTTAATGAAAACTGTGGACTGTTGGCAAGCTTTCGAGGTCAAGTTCTCACACCTGTGCTTAACCAATTATATGTTAGTCACTAAGGGTCTTCAAGACATGTATCCAATCATAATATGCCAAATCACTGTAAGTGCATGTAAGAAATAGTATATAAGGAGTTAAGGCTTTGTAATAAATTTGGCAATTGCTTGATCACATTGATCGTCTCTGTGGTGTCCATGACTCCCGCGTCAACAGCCGCATTTCACAGCTGTGTCTCCTTCAATTTGAGCTCATCAGGTTCTGCAAAATGATGCCTTTTCAATAGCCTGCCTGTGTTACCCAGTGCTTCAGAATGCACCAAGTCACCTAACATTTTGACAAACAACGCCTGTATCAATTTCTCTCCTCATCCTCCTTTCCTCCTCCCTTTCCTCCCCCCAGCAAAGGAACCAGCTTATCTCTGGAGTTAGGCAAACATAATAGAGGAGATGGATAAACTCTCCTTTCAGGTGAATTCACATGAGGGTGGGCTCCCAGGTCATCTGAACAAATATGATTCCCTGTTTAGTAACCAAAAGCATTTGAAAGAGGGACCACTGAATGGGCTGAGCATGTGCTGAGCATGTACTGAGCATGTACACCCTGCCAGTGTGCTGGGATTTGAAACTCCCTCGAAAAGCTGAGCAGCTTCAAAGGAACCTAATGGGGAGAGGTAAATGTAAAAATGCTAACAAATTCCATCCCCTGTTATGAAATACACGATTGGGGTGGGAGGGACTTGCATGGTATGCCTGTTTCTGTGGGATCTGATATAACTGTAAGCTCTTTACAATGTTCTTTGCATCCTTGTGGACTGCCTGATGGAAGCAGCAGCTAAAAGCAAATCAGAGGGTGAGAGGGTGAGTCTTGCTGGTGAGAATTAGTAGCATCAGGAGAGAAATATTGCACACCTAACCGACTGAATTATGCATTATGCTGCAAAATCCCCAATGTCAATACACAAATGCTATTCCTGTTGTTTTGCCTGTGATGATTGGCAGCAAAGAAATTCAAATCACATCCACACAGCAATTTCCTGCTGTAACTAAGTCTCTCCTATCCAGGCAGGTATGCTTGTGCAGACAAAATCTATGCAGTATAGTAGGTGCTTTAGGAAGAGGTTAAAAAAGGATGCTGAAAACATTTTCCTGTGTTCAGCAATACCAAATGTTGTCAGGTTAGCGTGTACTCACCCCTTTTGCTTGTGGGCATTGTAGGTTAGATGTTACCCCAGACCTTGGGAGGACTGGATGAAGAAGTCCATACTGAGGCATTGAAAGTGATTTGAGGCACACATCTCCATGGAAGGACTTTTCTCTCCCCAAACGAGATAAGAGAATGGAAAACAGAGCCAAACTAAGTGTCATCCCCAATACAAAGGAGCAGTGGGGTCAGCACTACATGGCAGACTAAGAGGATTATGAAATTGCATGTAATAAATGGTAAGAAAATGACTATTTTAATGAACACAAGATTGTTAAAATCCCCTGCTATTGGATCTTGCCAGTGTGTTTGCAGAGAGAAGAGCAGATAACAAAGCTATCAAACAAAGCAGATAAAAACTCTACCTTTTGTTTGCTGCTTAAGTTGTCTTTGCATTGCTTCCAGAAGACATAAATCAGTTACTAATCACATTCCCCATTTGAGGTGCTGTGAGTGTTCATATGTTTAATCTGTCCTGGGTGCTTTTAGAAAGAATTGTGCTAAGGTGAGGATGAGAGTTGCACAGAATTGTCTTGCCCTTGTTAATACTTTTCTTTTCACAGAATAAGGCTGTGTGATAATCTAATTTTTTTTTTTTTTTTCCTGCTTGGTGACCAAGTTAAAGATTTGGACTTGAAGAAAAGTTTGGGTATCTGAGGTTTAAAGTATCATTCCGTTTGCATTCTTTGGATGTCTCTTTCTCTTTCAGAACAGAAATTCCTCTTGAAATGACACCACTTCAAGATGTTTGGGAAACAACTAAGCAAATCAGAAAATGTTTTACCTGCTGAATTAGAATAGCTGCTGTAAAATAGTGGTATTTTATCCACACACTTCCAAGTGGAATAATCTAGCAGCCTATGGAATGTAGCTTATCCCAGGTTATGAGCTCCTTAAAGGATTGTGTTGTGGAAAACAAAACATGGATTTGATTAGATCAAAAGCAAGACCTCAAACACCTGTGCCACCACCTCTGCCTGTCTCCCTGTAGCTGAGCCTGAGGGGACAGGGATGGCAGGGCTTGCCAGGGAGCTGGGAGAAAACATGGCAACATTTCCCTTTGGGGAAGGTGAGTCTGCCTGCCATCATCCCTCCAGGGTGAGCAAGACTCCCACAGCCTGTGAGAAAGCTGTTTGCCCATGGGACAAATGGCTGCCAGGAGGGAGCAGGAGCTGGTCCCTGGTCTGGCACTAGGATGTAGACAAGGCAGGAAAGCAGCAGATGTGAGGGAAAGGAGGGCTGTAGATCTGAAGCTGAAGCTAAATGAAAAGGACAGGGAGAGTGGAAATGATGCTGCCTTGTACCCATTCTGAGGTGCTGGAGGAGCCAAGCTAACAGAGGACAGGAGAGGGTATGTGCTGTCTGGGAGAGCTTGGGTACCATTAGCACTGTCACATAGACAGCTTAAAATGAGCCTTCTGTTGGGAAGAAAGAGTTAAAACAATTCTGAGTCTTGCAAGTCTCTCAATCTCAGACTGTAACTGTTGAAGATCAGCAGCAGAGGATTATAAAGATAAGAGCAAGGGAAACACGCAAGAAGGAGCTGGTGGAGGATCAGACCACAGAGTAATAATGACAACTCCTCCCAGGCAAAGAAACTGAGGATAATCCCTGGACCAAGAAGCATGCAAATCATCCAGTGCTTTTCCTCGGACAGAGAGCATTGTCAATCTCCTTTCCACCCTGACGCTGTGTTAGCTGATGGGAGGATGCTGGAAGAGGGCCTGGGAGAAGCTCCCTCATGCTGCCCTCACAGAGCTCAGCACAGGAGTGGCAGTGGAGTCACTGGCTCCCCTGGCATCAGGCAGCCACTGATGCTGCATGATGTCGCCCACAGTGCAGGCAGCTGCGACCTGGCAGCTTCTCACGTGCGTGTGTGCTCCTCAGCTGCTCCAGGTCAGAGCTGTCTTCTCTCATTTCAGGTGCTTCGCCAGGCGTGCTGAAGGGACAGGAAAAGATGAGGCCATCCAGGTTCACCTATAGACTTCCTGCTCAAACGCGCTCTCATGTCCTCAGCCATTGCTGCTTCAGCAAGTGCTCTGCCACATCCTTGCCGCTTGGCTGCTCAGGAGCTACCGAAGCGGTCTTGCTAGCAGGTCCTCCAAGTAGGCAGTGATGAGCTGAGGGCATGTTTCAGGTCTGTGTTTGCAAGCAGGAGATGATTACAGAAAGCAGAGCCCCAGGCTTCATGTTCATGCTGGCTGCTTCTAAACACCAATGTTGCAGGTGTGCCACTGCACCACTTCCCAGCTCATTTTTCAGTCCTTGAGCTGGACCCTATCTTCACCTTTTGCAAGGCAGTTTTTGACTCTGTAGGTAACCTGATTTCACTGTAAGGATTTGTGCAAGGAGTCCTGTGGCCTAAATAGGGCTGCAAAATGACTATTTATGCAGTCTATTTCAGGATCTGACTTCTGCCACTTAAAAGCTAAGGGGTTACAGGGACATTCACATGGGCCAGCAAGAGTAACCTGTCAGGCTTTTCTCAGGATCTGGGCTGACTTTCTTGCACCTTTCAGACACAGCATAAAGACTCCATTGTGGAAAGTTTGGAAGGTGGCACTGAGCAGAGGCAAATCTGCAGGTCTAACTTGGCCATCTCCCATAACCACAATAAGATGGAATCGTTTCCCATTACCCCAGGATGTGACAAATTAGTGACTTTGATAGCACCTGGAAAGCAAAGGAAAGTCAAAGCCAGGTCTGTGCTCACAAGCAAGGGAAGAAACAACCAGAGCTGAGTTTCAGGCAGTTGAAGCATGGAGAAGGGATGAACGGAATAAGCTGCCCTCTGCTGCAGGCTGGCATGCTCGCACATGCTATTCCCTATCCAAACTTCAGGGTGCTTGGCCCCCTTGTTTTCTCCCCAGGAGAGACAAGCCCAAAGGGAGTGAGGCTTGCTGGGATGCAAAATGTGGCTTCTGGTGGTGGACCTGTCCTGCTGACCATGGAGGATGTGATATCTGGGCCAGGAAGAGGGCAGGCACTCTAGGAAGAGGGGGTCTCGTCCCTGCATCATACACCAGAAACAGCATGGGATTTGTGCTCTAGCCTCAGAGCCTCCAAGATCTGGAGCTTTCAAGCAAGTGGAGTGCAGCAGGTATTTGCCCCTCTGTTGCCTCCTACTGCAAACAGAGTACGTCAAAATCGTGGGACAATCCCCTGTATTTCTGGCTCCATCGCTTCTTGTTAGAAGTGGTTTTTTGTTCTAGTGACAGTCACACTACGTCCAGGAGTGCATGTAGTGTAGGAGAGTCAGGGGCATGGTAATTGCTGGAAGGGCGATGTGGATTTGTTTGGGAAGAGCTGGAAAGGCCAGAATTGTGGACATAGCTGGGATGCTTTGATCCAGGTGCTTAGCAGAACAACCCTCCAGGCTGTCACATCAAGTGACACAGAGCATGGATGCATATCGAGAGCCTTTTCCAACAATCCCCTTGTGCAAATGCTAAAACCATAAAATACTTCCCGAGGACTGTGATCTTGCAGCAAGGATTTGCTCCACTCCACTTCCCTTTTGCAATGTGCTTTTTTTTGTCTTCACAAAAGGTTTCCTTGGCAAAAGGGAGCTGCCAGCTGGCCAGACCTAGCCAAGGGGCTAATGGAAGTATTCAGCTGTATGCAGTTGCACCAGCAAAATTGTCTATTCAAAGAAAAGTCATAGTTTTGACTCTGGTTTTTCATCAGGGTTTATTACTCTAGGACCACTGCCAATACAAACTTTTCTAGCTAAAATGAACAACAACCAAAAAAAATCCTAGCTTGCTTTTCATATGCTTTGAAAGCATCCCTCATCCTGGCTGGTACCACTGCTGATTACCCCTCTCTTCACTCTTTTTTGTCCAAGTGGTCACTGACTTCTCAGTGTCACTTTCCTCCTTTCATCACAATGGTGACTTACCCATTTCATTAAATTCTTATTTTTAAATGATGAAAGCATTTTAATTCCTGATGGCTTTAATAATATCACTGCCTCTCTACCTCCTTCCTTTTTTAAACCACCTCTAAACCTTGGGAATGGAACTAGCTGACAGGTTTCCTTTAATTATCCTCGCTCTCCATGCTCATCTCTTCCACGGTGCCTTCAAGGGACACCACTATGAAAGGTGCTACACACACAAGCAGCACACCCAAATTGAAGCAGAGAACAAAAAACAAAAAGTCAAGAAATCCACCCTTAAAGAAATTAATAACAAATACAGCTGGGCACATTTCATAAGCCCTATTAGGCAGTACTGCTCAGATACCATGGTGATGAGCCTCCTATAAATATTTCCACAGCAGTAAAACTGTCTTAAAGGGACCACACAGCAGCTCATGTGCACCAGGAGGGAGCATTTCTCTGGAGGACCCTCTTGTCTTGTCCAGACTGCATGGCTGACATAAGCCACATGCCTAAGGAGGAAGCCACCACCATCTGCTTTTCTTTTGCCTGTCAAGAGCACCAAGAACAACACAGCCCTGGTGTTATGCCCATAACTCTGTGATTTGACCACAACATATTGCTAGGGACAAGGGGGTGGTCTACACTTTACTATTCAGCAGTCTCTCAAAGCCAAGGAGCCAGGCGAAGCAGACTTTAGCTGCCCAAATCCTTTAGCTGCTCCATCACCCAGCCTGAGCCTTCACAGGGCACAGCCACAGGGAGGAGCTTAAAGATATGGCTTGCAATGGAACCAGATGTGTACTTCCTTATTCTCCCAGAGGCAAATGTTTGTGGAGTAGAATAACACCTGATCAGGTTGCTAGGATTTCAGGCGCTCCTGTTCACAGATCCAGGAGCTGAGCATGAGGGACAGAGAGGAGGGAGGGGAAGAAACACATGCTCAGATGTTTAGGTTTCTGCAGCCAACTTCTGCCCATGCTGCAGGAGAGCTTTGAGTTTCTTGCCCTTGATGTAATCACCACCAGAAGTTTGTTTTCGCAAAACCTTCTCATCTTGAAAGCTACAACTCACACATCAGTACCTCATCTGAGAAGAAACAGTAACCCTGTTATTAAGCTGTGAGCAGCAGCTCCTGGAGGGTAATTCTTCACACACCTGCTGCTGTTCATAAATAGATGGGAAACTTCATATTGGAAAGTAATTTTCAAAGGACAGCAGCTCCAGTGGAATAATGGATGGAAAAATAGAGAAATGATCCTGTAGAAAAAAGCTGACCTAGCCTTGGTGCTGAGGGTCCAATGCATGGCTGCTTTGAGTGACTGTATAGAGGAGCTAGAAACCACTTGGAGCTGC